TAAATTTAGTAACAAATATAATCCCTAAACAGCTCATCGCTTTGTATGTTAGCGCTATTAAAAGTAGACAATATTGAACACTGATCTGAAGTTATCATGCAACTGACAACAACATTATATCTCAAAATACCTGTATATGATGATATTTCACAAATATATCGGGATTTCTGGACCAATTTTAAACTTAGCCAGGCAAAAAGTCTCCATTCAAGAATATATCTTCTTCTCAAAAGGTAAAATACTTAAAATACTTGATTAAATTGTTTACTTCGACGGTATGTAAATTAACAGCGTTTGACTTGCAAGACGTCAAAAACGGACGATTTCAACGCGCTGTCGTTTATCGCGTATTCATTTGCCCAAAGAAGTATTTACGTCAATTGAAAGCTTGTTTATTAGAGAGCCAACTAGTAGAAGCATGATCGATTTGGAGCTTTATCCCATGGTGAAAATCGGTTTTGTTAAGAGGGTATCGTAAATGAGGTAAGATAGTGTGCTCCAAAACTACGATTATTTCTATTCCTAAAAGTAACTCAGATTTCCTGTAAGTCACGTACCCGGTCCTTTGAATAACCGAAAACAAGATTTTTAGGGTTTTAGATCGATTAGAAACGGTTGTCGTCGTGAAATTTGTCGGTAAAATCAGCGCATATTTTCCCAGACAAAATGGCGATTTAGGGTGGTCGTGTTAAAACGGCATTTTCTCAAAGTTAAAAAAGCGTTTGACCTAAAAAAATATATGGTGCATTTTCCGATATAATAAGGTATATCTGGGCAAAATTTGAGCAAAATCGATTTTTCCGTCGTGGCCGCCTTATGTTTGATTTTTGTGGACATCCTCTCTTAAAATACTGCTTCTTGAACATGGCATTGCATGCTACTGCTACACTGCTTCATCTAGGTCCAATAGGCAAAGAATTACAGTTAAGTTACGGTTAAATTAATTCACTGACTTCTGGCTTCTGTTGGCCTTTTTACGATCCTGATGTCGATACAACCAGCAACAACGTTTTTTGTGTTTTTAAAAGCCAACCCGCAATACGTGTTGATGAAATGAACTACTCTCTTCGAAAAATCCTGATACAAATTTGTTTAACTCGGGAAGTACGTAGTACATAAAGAAATGGATTGATGCACGAATGAAGTTGAATAACAACATTGAAAAGATGGACCCATTGTATGTAGAAAGTAAGATTGCCATGGATCACATAGTAAAGACGGAATATGATGGACGGAAGCCATACTGCTATATATACGGCGCAAATGTATAGGATTGTTCTGTTAGTCTTCGAACGCTGGACGTTGGTTCGTCTTGTCATTTGCGAAATGCCACTTTGATTGTATTGAACTGCCATGATTTGTTGACGCATGTTACGATTTTGAGCCTGGACAATCGCAAATATCATGATTTGAAAAATGACTGTGAAGCAGATTATGACACTTACTATGACAGGAAACATCCGAGCTTCTGATTGTCCGTCAAGCAACACCCAAATTACAATGGCAATGGCGATAGTGTATATCGATGCCAGGCAACCATAGGTCTTCTTTTCGGTTACGTTGTTTTCGTAGAAAAATGGGAATTTTACGGAAAGATATCTGTTTAATGTGAGAAATAGGAGACTTAGAGACCCTGAGATGATAGTGAAATGGACGGTGACATGAATGGCCAATGATTGTTCTGCTGGGATCCGAGAACGCGCAAGGATTCGAGGTATCACTTGTGACTGCGTGGCAATACTGTAGAGAAAATCTGAGAAACATAAACTTAAAATAAGTATGTCCATGTTCTGTATTTCTTTGAATTTATTTATCTGCATTATGATGTACATTACCAGCCCATTTGTTAGCGCTCCCAGAACGCCAAGAAGAGCGCTAACCACTGATGTTATCACAGCAATCTCCCCGGGCATCGGATGGTATTCCCATCTATTCACCCAATACGCTTCTGTTGGCTGTACTTTTTCTGAACTATCATTCATGGTGGGGCCTGTGGAGGGTGTCGCTTAAACCAAAACTGAATGCATTAATACAATCTGCACCTAAGCTGCTTTCTTATATACTCTAGGCCAGGCAGCTGAAATTAGACTTCCATCCATTTGGGCTTGACGTTTCTATACTGAACCAAATATCGATATCAATCATTTCTAAACTACTTTAAAATCGTAACCAAAGGAAATAAATTAACTTTACTAAGCCTTCGGCTCGCAATCCAGAAAGGATTAAAGATATTTAAACAATTTATATACAACTTCCAATTTCTTTCCCGTTTCTTGCTTAGAATACATAATATGCACAATGCTTTAGGAATTGCCTAAGTTGTCTTTCTCATAGTAAACAAGTATCTTTCTCTTCGAGAAAGATCTTTAAATTATATGACATATAGCTAGTATTGTTAATTAATATCTTTCTGTCTTACATATACCTATATATGACTGATGAACATGCTATATCAAATGATGAATTACTATACAGATGAACAAAAAAAGTAATCATTAATTTTAGCATGTTGGCGCGCGTGGGTTAAATATTGAGTTAACTTTTCGATAATCTAATGTTTACGCAGAAAATTTCAGGCTTTTAATAGCTGTTCAATGATACTTTTTTGTATCATCATAAAGGGAAATGACCAAATACCGATTGAATAAAAATGCCGGTCGAATTTTAATTCAAAACTCCCGACATATGGGATAAAATGTAAATGATGTTAAACGTTGTTGATCAATGTGATCACTTTTAATTTGTTTTAAGCTTAAAGTTTGGCAAGAATGTTAGCGATTAATTGCTTTTTCTTTTATTAATATGTACTGTTTTAATTATGCACATCAAGAAAAACGTGATTTAGATCGGAAATTTTTAGTTGGCTCGTTGTTTGTGATTTTTGCTGGAATAACACTAAAAAGGTGTCGATCAAAGGCAAAAACCCTAATCCAGGGACGTGCTGGCTAGGGAGGAGCCGACGAGAACTTGTTCATGTTGTGGGCCCTTGCCATTATGGGCCCTTAAAATTGAAACATTGGAAAAGATAAAAAAAAAAGAATTTAATTTTGAAAATCAACCGATTAAGATATTACAATTTATATTTTAAAAATCTAAATTTACGAAAATATTACGGAAAAATTTAACAATTTACGGTACATGAATTCGAAAGTTACTGAAACTAATGGTATGTCCGGAAAATTTTTTACTCCCTCCCCCAGTTCATCACCAACATTTTTTGGGGAAAAAATATTAATTAGCTAGCGACTGAAATGTTTCATGTTTGATCAGTTAATACCCCCCACCCCAATCTTGATCCATCCATCACTGGGCCTGGGCCCCATCAGACGATGCTGATTCGTCGTCCTTTTCAAGACCCCAGCACATCCCTGCCCTAATCTTTATCATTCAGCGTACAAGAGCGTGATAAAGTTGGATAACCTTTTTCATACATAATTTGCTATCAACTCTTGATTGACGAGTTTAACATCAGAACATGTGCCGGTGATCTTTAGCGATTAGGAGGTTAAAACCATATGTTACTCAACAGACACTTTAAGCTGTCTATTATGCTTTGGTTTAGCTATGTGTTGACTACTGCTGCCTTGTGCGGAAGCCAATTAGTGCCACACTTTCGAATAGACTCCAGACACTCCAAAATAGAGCTGCCAGGGTCATATTAGGATATAAAAAAGAACAAGATCAATCAAGCAGCCTTAAACGATCTTCGATGGAAAACGTTAAAGAAACGTACAGACTTTCTATGCATGCATAAAAATTTTCATGCGCAAGCTCAAGCTATTAATTCTGACCGAAGCATTTGAATGTCCATTTATCCCTCAACACAAAACAACTATAACTTGCACAAGTCATGCAGACTTGAGTCCTATCTCCCGAAACCTAAAACTGAGTATTTGAAAGAAAGCATAAGTTCTAGTAGAGCAAAACTCTGGAATAGCTCACCATGCGAGCTAAGAAATTCTTCATCATGAAATATATTTAACGCCTTAATTTCCCATGCTAATCTGACCTAATTGTCTAATTAACCTAATTGTCTAATTATGTAGTGCATGTGCTTGTTTAATACCATGTATATAGTCCTTTTTTATGTGTCTTCACTCCCCCTTGGAACTGCCTATGCTGAAGGCGTCAGCGTGGGTAAATACGATATAGTTCTTATATAATTAATAATAATCATACGAAAAACTAGTAGTTAACAATGCAGTTACGCCCATGCATTAATAGCGGATTTTCGAAAGAAAAATCAAAGTCAACCGCCGTTCACTTAATTATAAATCGACGTTTCGACGTACAATTGATGATATTGTCCATGCATTAACCAAATGGTACGTTTATTTCTCCAACCGCGTAAGCGTCTGAGGCCGCAAACAACGCATCGATCGGTGTTGTCCTGGTAGCTTGTACCGCTCTTTGGTGACAAAATTGTGAACAAACGCATGAACCCATTTGCTTGAACATACCCCATGGATATTTTTATATATCCACGAGATGTAACGGCATTGCATGAAGATTGCAGACATACAATATTTTTATATTAAGAATGCATGGCACTTACAGTCATTAAGAGAATGATCTTCGAAAGAAAGATCAGAGTAAACCGCAACTCACTTAAATCGATAATACATTTAGACGTACAATTGATGATATTGCGCATTAGGGGAAAGGGTTCAGCTTCACCTGCAAGCGTGCGAGCCCGCCCGTAACAACGTACAGCATTAAATTGAAACTTACATTACGCATAACAACATACTAGACATTAATATTTTGGAAAAAAACATTTTGCAATTGAAACGTATCGTTTAATTAATCATTTTTTAAACTTTTATTAAAAAGTATCGTGTTACCAGATAACTTCGAAGTGCTTCATGTTTGGAAAATATTATACTGCTTGGTCGATAAAACCAATGCTAATGTAGCTTGGTGGATAAAACTTTGGTCGATGAATATTTTGGAAAATATTACGGAACTCACCGAACTGTGGAATCGCATAAAAAATTCGTATCGCCGCCCCTCCCACAAACGTCTGCGACCGCACCTACATATTTTTGCATGTTTACAATACTAATTTTAAACAGCTAATCGATGTCTAATTGTAATCACTAAGAACAGGATTGGCTTTTTAAAATTAGAATTGTAAACAGGCAAATATATGTAGGTGCGGTCGTAGACGTTTGTGGAAGTTGCGGCGATACGAATTTTTTATGGAATTCCACATTTCGATGAGTTGCGTGATATTTTGCAATTAAAACTGGATTTACACTTTTGCTAAAAATATTGCGTTACCATGACAGCAACTTCGAAATACTTCATGTTTGGAAAGGCAAGGCGAGATCCACCCTGGGTACGTTCCAGAGGCTTCAGAGAGTTTCCAGCCAGGATTTTTCTTTCTTCTTAAAAAAAAAATTAACAACTTGAAAACCTCTTGCTACATATCTTTCTACAATCTTTGATATCTAGTTGAGACTACCTCCCTTTATGATAAATTCAATGTTGATCATATAGCGATTCTTAGGCCCCCGTTCCTCCAACTCAATGTTGAGCACGTGTGTTTACAACATTGGCTGGGGGGAGGGGGGGGGGGTGGTGTCAATGTTCATTAACGGTCTCAAGGGTTATGCCCAAGATTGTAGCTGTGCGAATAAAATACAGAAAGAGAAGAGGATTAAAAAGCCTGTCAGATATCACAGCCGGGTGGCTTTGTTTAATATGGTGTTATGGGTGCACCTCCTACTGATCTCTATAATATACCGAATGCGAGGAGTAGCCATGAGTGAGATTTAAAACATCAAAACCTATAAAAAAACATTTTAATAAGACTAGAAATACATGCATGCAGAAACCCCTCGCCTTTATTTTCATAATTTTTTTTAACTTGAAGTATTCTAAATTTGGCCACCATTAAACGCCGACTTGTGTTGCTCGCGTCATGTTAGACATGTTAGACAGATTTAGAAAAGACGACGCGACCTCAAAGATGACGTGGATGGCGTCATTTGGCGCCAACTATCGTCAGCTTCTGATTTGCCACGTAGTCTTGGACAATTTCACGACGCGAAAATTCAATTTTCACCTCCTCTCTAGAAAGTCACAGATTTATGCTTCTTTTGAAAAAAAATATGAGAGTATGCATGATAAAAATCATCCTATTTTGTTCCCCAAGTATTGTTTAATGATTCTAGTTAAAGGTTTTTCATTGACAAGGTTGTTTTTCTTGTATTTCGCTAAATTTTGAACGTGTTAATTTTTGACAAATACTTTCGGTCGCCATAACAATCAACAAAACTGCAAGCATTGTTAATAACCACTTCAATACCGCTAGTATTCTTCACCCAAACAAACATTTTAGAAAAACCTGAAGTGAAGTTATATTAAAAACTGTTTAAAATCAGGAAAACTTGGGAAGATAGAAGAATAAAAGCAATTAAAAGCAGTAAAAACTCAATCAATTTTAGTTGCTCTGTCACAACAGTGCGAAAAAGTAAGAGAAGTAAAAAAAAACGCTTTCCAGCGTGAAAAACTATCTTAAACTGTATTAAATTTTACTAATATAAGCACTGATGCCTTATTTATACTAAACAGTTGACAAACTTGATTGAATAGGCTACAAACTAAAGCATTTAGCTCGTAAACAATTTTTTCTGCAAAACGGAAAATTCATTTTTTGTGCAAAACGGAAAAAATATTAATGAAATTTAACTCTTTTAATTATCGAACTATCAATTTCTAAAATATATAAAGTATATAGGTATATTATTTGTCACTCTATAAGCTTGAATTTAAGGTAATATTCAACCCTGAACGCTTCACGAAATGCGAGACGAAATGTTCATTTATCATTCCCGGATGTCGTTTTCTGGCGGGAAATTTTTGCTTTGCAAACAGAAAAAAATTTTTGCTTTTTAAATTTCCAATTAATTGTGCTTTACAGATAAAAATTTCAAACCACCAAATTGTTTTTGATTGAACATGCATGCCTACCGTATATTGTTACCCAGTGAAACTGACGATAGCCGATTTAATTTGCACAATTGCACGAATTAGAAAAGCATATGCTCACGGACTGATTTCAGCCATATAATAAACTGATTATTGACCTCGCTTGTTCGGTCTGTACTGTGAAATATCAGACCTATTTTTTGCATGCATGACCTCATTCCTTCGTCGCTCGGTCCAACTAAAAACCTCGGTCTGATATTTCACAGTACAGACCGAACAAGCGAGGTCAATAAGCCGTTATTATTATATGGCTTTTCTGAGTCCTGGATTCTGATTGGTTGACAAGCGGTCCTTAAAAATGCGTATCCGGACCGTGGTCCGTATTTTCCGTATCTGGACCGGTGGCACAGGCTCGAATTTGAAACGTTTTTGCACGTTTATAAGGTCATCATGCATGTGAAGAAAAAGTATCCTTGGATCATTTTTAAGAATAAGAAGTCTTGGAAATATTAATAAGTACCTGTACCAACACAAACTTCATCGAAAAAGCTAAGAAAACAAACCGTTTGAACTCTTACTGGCAACCGTAAGTTTTGGCGGGAAAATGTTTTGATTTGTTTACTTGTTTCAAAAAATAAATAAAGATGAATTTAACGTCTTCAATACCATATTGTAAACAAATATCATATAAACTGGGTAAAAAGTAATTCTAAAGCGATTGTTAAACATGCTTTTCCGTAAACAATATTCGGTGACGAAACCAAATCTAAACGAAGAAAACTAGCAAATAAAACACAGCTCAAAAATAGCGCTCAAACAAATATATGAAAATCAGAAAATGTGTTTAAGGAGCCATGTAATAAACGGTTTATTAACCTCGTTTTGCTCGGTCTGTACGGGAAAGTATTTGCCTGAGGTTTATCCGCACAGACCTCGCTCCTTCGTCGCTCGGTCTGTACGAAAACCTCAGGCAAAAACTTTCCCGTACAGACCGAGCAAAACGAGGTTAATAACCCTTTAGTATACACTACTTTCCAGTTCAAATACACAAGCCATCGATAACCATCGATTAGTCCGTTGAAAGAACTGATAGAAATTTCAGGTATTTTTATTATTGGAAGTTTTCCAATAAAATTTGGTTCCATGAAACAGCTCCTCTATATATGGGAGAAGCTTCGTTTTAACAAAATTGTCTTAGTTACCTATTTACCGTGTTAAATATTCTGGAGCCATACCCCTAAGACTAAGTGCAAAAGTGGCGTTGTGCTATTCCTGTTTTCATGTACTCTGTTGCTGATTTTTGTATCGTGTTGGTTTTTCTGTCCGTATTTCCTGGATGGACATGATTTTATGCGAGTACTATATTTTCTTGCATTTTGTTGTCCGTTTGTGGAATAGTTTATATTAGAGAGTTTATAAGCTTCGCGTTATACGTCAAACGGCAAACGGCAGGCAAAGAAAATTTTGACGATATCACGCAATAAAGAGTAAATTAGCTTGCTGTTTTAAAACTGAAATACATAATTATTCTTCTAACACAAGAAAGAAAATATGAAACGAAAACGTTCAACAAAATGTTTGCCAAGAAAATTCAAACCTGCCGTTTGCCGTTCCCGGAAACGTGAAGCTTAAACTCCCTAATTCTTACATGCAAACAGAAGGCAGTTTTGCTTTGCAATCGACGCGAGTGCATTTTGAATAACTCAGACCGCGAACAGTCCCTCGGGAGAAAGGATCGAGGGACGGCCGACAACACATCGACAAACGAAATACGTCCAATTTTCGCTCTTGCCAAGTTGGCTCCGCCTTGCATAAACATTACTTATATCCAATTAAATCTACCCAATAGGAATCGTTCATGTGTCACGTTTATTTATAAAATCGACATTCAGTACGAAAATTATTTATAGCATAATTACTACGTATCATATTTGATTGACAGGCATATCGATTTCGACCAATGGGAATTTTGCGTTGTGTGGGCAATGCGTATTTCGTTTCTTGATGTATTGTCGCGTATTAGAATTACGTATGAAATATATAGCTCAGTGTTGAAGCCTGCGATTTCCGCAAATCGCAATAAGACCTGGGATGGGTTGCTGTGTTTATTCTAGACTGCGAGCGGTTCCTCCTTGGCGCAGGTTTAGATTGCCGGGCATGCGAAAGGAAAGGAGGGACTGCCGACTAGATAGGTAAGGTAATGTAAGAACTCGACGTTTCGAGCGAAGGCCCTTCATCAAGAGTTAGTAGCAGGGATCGGGGAAAATGCACGGGCTTTTATACTAAGAGTATGAAAGCATCGCGCGACAAAAAATAAACCAATTAGATGGATTTAATCATAACAAAGTGTAAACAAAATATGTAAATCGCATTACAGAATATTTAACAAGTATTCGCCGAAGGCGAGGTGATTATCGGGGAATATTCGCCGAAACGAAGTCGAGGTGAATATTCCCTGATAATCACGGAGCCTGAGGCGAGTAATTGCGTTAGTATTTTTACACAAGCTTTTGTGTTTTTTGAGACTGAATTTATTTTAATTTCGCTTATTTCTTTGTCAGTAAACTTCCACAAAACGGGTAGCCGCCATTTTGAATATTTCTGTTTTGTTGTAGGTGAATATTATACACTTAATGTCTGCTCCCGAGGGAAATAGTTAGTTTTGTTTTCCCGAGAATCTCAATGTTTTCCGAGACGAATTCGAGGGAAACATTAAGATTCGAGGGAAAACAAAACTAACTATTTCCCGAAGGAACAGGCATTAAGTGTTTTGTTATATAGCGACGACAACAACTTCAACAACATTCACATAACAATTGTATTTCGTGACAAAAACTCTATAGTGTAAACGAGTTTAAAATTAAAAGAACCTACTTAAACGGTGTCAGCAGCATATCCTGTTGCCTGTTGTGTATTTTTCTTCTCTTTTATATTCTTTATTTGAACACAAACTTGGAAAATCGTAGTTTCTAATTATCTGAGTTGTGCCTCCATTTTGTTTATTTATGTACGTGGCCGGTCGGGGCGAGCAACAATTTTTCACTTGTTGCCCGGCGGGAAACATTGCATTTATCTGAAGTCACGTGACCACAAATCAGCCAATCACGTTTGGTGTTCACGCTAGCTATATAACAATATACACCTAATGTCTGCACCAGAGGGAAATAGTTAGTTTTGTTTTCCCGAGGATCTCAATGTTTCCCGAGACGAAGTCGAGGGAAACATTGAGATTCGAGGGAAAACAAAACTAACTA